AAAAAAAAAAAAAAAAATATGTTTGTTGGGTCAGCGCCCTAGCATGGTGGTTACAGTGACAGCCACATACACCGAGGGTGGCAGGTTCAAACCTGGCCAGGGCCAACAAAACAACTGCAACAACAACAAAAATAGCCGGGCATTGTGGCAGGTGCCTATAGTCCCAGCTATTTGGGAGGCTGAAGCAAGAGAATTGCTTAAGCCCGAGAGTTTGAGGTTGCTGTGAGTTGTGACACCATGGCACTCTACTGAGGCAACACAGTGAGACTCTGTCACCCCCTAAAAAAAAATATTGCTAGGGTGGCACCTGTAGCTCAGTGGGTAGGGCGCCGGCCCCATATACTGAGGGTGGTGGGTTCAAACCTGGCCCCAGCCAAACTGCAACAACAAAAAGAAATAGCTGCGCATTGTGGAGGGTGCTGTAGTCCCAGCTACTCGGGAAGCTGAGGCAACAGAATCGCCTAAGCCCAGGAACTGGAGGTTGCTGTGAGCTGTGATGCCACGTACTCTACCAAGAGTGACAAAGTGAGACTCTGTCTCTAGAAAAAATATATATTCCTTTTAATATTTCCTTTATCTTCAGGTAAATAAAAAAGTCACTGAGGGCCATGTCAGGTGAGTAGGGAGGATGTTCCAATACAGTTATTTGTTTACTGGCTAAAAATTCCTTCATAGATAGTGCTATGTGAGCTGGTACATTGTCATGATGCAATAGCCATGAGTTGTTAGACAAGATTTTCAGTAAAGATTTTACTAACTGGGCCAGATGTGGTGGCTCATGCCTGTCATCCCAGCACTCTGGGAGGCCGAGGCTGTTGGATTGCCTGAGCTCACAGGTTCGAGACCAGCCTAAGCCAGAGCGAGACCTCATCTCTGAAAATAGTGGAGAGGTTGAGGCAAGAGCATTGCTTGAGCCCAAGAGTTTGAGGTTGCTGTGAGCTATGATGCCATGGCACTCTACCAAGGGCAACAAAATGAGACTGTCTCAAAAAAAAATGATTTTACTGTTTTTCCATTGATGTTTACTTGGCCTGCTCTGCTTGTCACAGTCAATGATTTTGATGCACAATTTGATGAATTTTTTTTTTTTT